CTATAAAATACAAAAATAATTTCTGTCTCCCATTTAGAACTCCTGTTCTTTGGACACATCAATCTCATGCAATCTGGTGAGGAAGTCAAAACATCTGAGCATTTCCAATGAATTGTTAAGATATGCTTTGCTGCCACCTTATCAAAACCACCATTCTACAATCCTCAGATATATCTTAACTTTACAGTAGAATCTGGGGAACAAAATAGTCCTCTTAGATTCTTGTGATATTAGCCTAGATGTATCTAACCCACAGTTCCTTAAACTTTTTTCATCACGACCCAGTTTGATTTTGTATACTACCTTCACAACCCATTCTATCTTTATGGATGTTCTCACAATCAAGTTCAGTTCATTCAGATATGCTATTTGCATAGTGTTCAAACTTTTTGATTGCATCCTTGAAATCTCTAAAAATATTTATTGTAATGTAAAGGAAAACATTGAAATTATATCTAACTATCTCCATTGCTGTGCTACTCTCTTTATCACTTTCTTGCAATTTATATCTGATTCTTCCAAATGTAAGATACTTCACCATTTCTTACCTGTAGGAGAGGCACTGAGCTCTGGAGAGTTAGATGAACAGTTGTTGCTATCAATAAGACCCTCTGGTAATTCACCAGAACACAGTCTGAGAGTAACATCCATCAACACCTGTGATGTAACTTCAGGTTGTTTTGAACCTGGTGTAATCTGCAAGAGGAGTAAATTTAGATAATGGATACAATGTATTATAACTTCCATTATGTTTATTAAGGATCACAAACAACTATCATATTATGTAGTTTTCTATAATCTTAACTACGACAGAATTCTTCAAAATATGTACAAAACTCTTAACTAGTGTTTTCCAAAATGCTTTACCTGAACTGTAAGTGGACATGCGTTTTCTACTCCTTGCCAGGTGGCCTGGAGAAGATTGGACAGAGTTGCCCACACAAGTTCTTCGGTTACTTCTGTGGTGCTCACACTCTGTTTGGATGAAAGTACAATTAAAGCCACGCAATGTTTAAAATCACATAAATAATTCCTGGGAAATGCTTTAAAATTATAGAATGTAATTTCAAAGTTAAATCAATAAATCAGACCTTTACTCAAACAAATGTGAAGGTTACTTGAAAACATACAAGCAAACAGTTCAATTAAACTTATCAAAAAATAATAACCTGAAAGACCAAGATAATGAAAAAGAATGAAAAAAGAAAAGAAACAAACAGAACTTACCCTGTGTCTCTTGTTGTCACTACGGTAATGAGGACTATTCCCTGTATCCATCATTGTTTCTGCTTTCGTTTCGACTTCCATAGGTTCTACACCTGTTATTCAAGGAGTCATTCATTAAGAAGTCATGCACTTATCATCATTGTCTTACTAAAGATGTGAGGTGTTTATAGAGGTTATTTCAAATTCAAGAAATATTAACAAGCATCATAATTCTCTAATAAATAATATGACTCAATGGGAACCCTGTATCATACCCACAGATAATATCACACTTTATCTGAAAATGAATATCCATCACTTTCTGACCTTTCTTGCATGGTGTTACATCCAGTGGTGAAGGTGGAGGGTGTCTCTTGGAAGGCGAGGTAATAAGCGATGATCCAGGGGGTGAGGTGGACAACTGTACCCCCTACAATTGAGAATGCAGTTTCAATTGAAAGTGCACTCACATTTCTATACAAATGCTCGATTAGAAGAAAAAACAAGAAAAAAAGAAAGAAAGAAAGGAAGAAGAAAATAGTTTTGGGGACCTAGATTAAACTTAAAATGACAGTGCCAGAAATTTCTGTGCTACTCCTTATGGTGACTTCTGACAACTGTCTAGCCTCTTGACCTGGAAGTTTGCTGGATTCTTTAACAAGTAAAATGCAGTTCCTTAATAGGATTCTTCAGGCTTGATTTGTTCTAAATGCTTTATCATGTCCCAAATATACATGAAAAATTCAAATGTTGATTTTTTGCACTTCTTAACCCATTGCCGCCGGGGATGGCATGTACGTACATGCCATCCCCACTCTGAGTCGACTTGCTTGATAGTTTTTATACATAGATGGCTACACTTGTACTAAGTCACCAGCGAGCCAATTATGAGTACTGCCTGTCTCACCTGTTCACCCTTTTCATTGATTTATGAAAATATTTAACGTTATCCTAATCTGCTATAGCACTAGTAAGAATACGTTTTTTCCCGCCAATTCAAGGAAAGGTGAAATTAGGACTAGCAGAGCCATCTATGTAGAGATATTTCACAAAAATATAAAAAATGAGTACAGCATTTTCCCCATTTTTTGTTCATTTTCCCCTACGGCAATGGGTTAAGACTGTCCTTAACCACACCTGTAACTATAATAGTTAAGTGTGCTAAGTCAGAAAAGACATGGAGTCACTTTCAAAGAAAGAAACAAGAAAGGAAAAGAGGAAGAGGCAGATGTAGTGGATGTAACATGAACATGATTAGACCATGGCTTATACTGCAAATAAATATCAGTCAAGC